GGGGCAGCCGGGGCAGCCGGGCGCTGCGGGGCAGGGTGGCGCGGGCGGCCAGGCGGCGAGGCAGCAGGAGGCTCCTACGGGTGCGTCGGCCGAGCGAGCAGGCGAGGCGGTCGGCATGGCGGTGGAGATGGGGGCGACGTGACCGTTTGCGCCCACTTAGCGTCCGGAAAACGCGGGGAGCGGCGGTGGCGGCGCTGTGTCATTTTGGCTTGGCGGGTTGCGGGGGGCCGCAGCGATAAAGCCGTACGGGCCCACACGCAAACGCTGCATCTCCGCTCTCGCTGGCGCGCGTTACTCTATGTGTATTGATTACGAGCGGCTGTTCGAGCGCAGCCGGCTCACATTTTTCTTCTCCGACGTCCGCGTATTATCTCTTAACAATTAGAAGTCACTAACACTATATTGGCCCAAAATATGTATATAAGTAGAGGAAAATATGCATAATCCCCTCCATCTTGTTGTGCAGCTCGCCTTGACCTCTCCGCCTCGCTGCGGCATCAGCGCGCCTCGCCTCTGCCTCCATCGAAATCTGCAGCGCGTCGAGCTGCTCGCGCAGCCGCTCAGCCTGCATCTTGGCACGCATCTCGCCGATACACCTCTCAAAATCAGCTCGAGCTGCGTGTTTTACCTCGTCGGCCATCCGCTCGGCCGCTTTGATGTCGCGTTTAGCAGCCTGCTGCGCTGTCCTCAGGTTGTCGCGGTCGGAGCGCCTCAGCTCTTGTGCCGCAGCAAGCTCTCAGCCCGCGCCGACGCGAGCGCCCTCTTCACAGCGCCCGCAGAGCGCTGCTCAGAAGCGACACCTTGGTCTGTGACCGCAACTTCTCTTCCAACTCCTGCCGGAGCAGCATCTCAGCACTCGCACTCCTTAGCTAAGATACGCGCGCACGGGCGTGGGTGGGTAAAAACGGGTCACTTTGCGGGGTTTGCCCATCATGATGATGAGCTCGTTTGTGGTTGGTTGCGATCGCTCATTTATGATGAGACTCATATACCACGCGTGATACATACAGGTAGTACATCAACTTTTGCTACAACGAGGGCGTTTATAGACACCGCCGAGTTTGATCGTCTGTCTGTCAAGTTTGACTGAGATCTCGACAGATCAACGAAACAACATCGATTAGATACTCGAGTAGGACCGTACGGCCCACTACTGAGCTACGTCCTACGAACGAGAGTTCATTTTTTCATCACTGTACCTTTACCTTTACCTTTGTACAGCAGCCCATCACACGGGCACCGAACAGAGCATATCGACGGTGTCGGCGTTGGCGGAGGAGATGACGCCGAGGGCAACGATGAGACAGAGAGGCTTCATCGCACGAGTAAAGGGTGGATGCTGGGTTGACGGAAATCGGAGGACGCGACCCACTTCGCCACAGACGGTCCCGCGCCTCGCCGCTATGACAGTGGCACGGCCGCAGCTCGTGTGCGTGCCACTGTCTTTGTCCGGAGTGAATACTCCAACGCGCTCGTCGGTGACGGTGTCCCTCAACCTGCGCCGCGCTCGGCGAACCTCGACAGCGCTTTCGGTGGCATGCAGCTCTTTGCGCCTGAAGCCTGGAGAGCAGCTCCTCTGCTGCTCACACACTCTGCACAGTTGACACAGCCTACTGTGCGGCTGCCACAGCTGTGACAGCGATGGGCTCGCCCTCACTGGCCCTCAGTCACTTGTGCTGCGGCTTGTGTGAGCGACACTGCTCGGCGACTGCCGGCACACTGTGAGACCATGGGTGTGAGGCTAAACCACGCTACCAGCGCTTGGTCACATCGGCCCCGAGGCCAGATCCATCTACTCTGTTGATGACAAGACTTGTCTACCGGCTGGAGCCGAGCAGGAGGGCCCAGCGCACAACCCCTTGGTCAACACTCACCCTCCACACCCCGTACTCTGGAGTAAAGTAGTAACATCTGTCTTCTTTTTGTTGCGTTCACAAATACTATCGTAGTAGGTCCCAAAAGACATCGGGACCTTAGAAGCCGACGGAACCTAGGCAAAGAGACATGCGGCCTCTATTCTATACGACCCGCTGACGTGGCCTTGTCGTCTCGCCGCGCAGGAACCTGAGGCTGAGTGAGACCATGAGGGGCGACGAGATGGAGCAGATGAGAACGATGAACCACATCTCAGACGCGTGGCTCTCCCAGCCGGGGCACTCGACGCACGTGCTCGGGCACTGCAGGAACGATGATGAGTCGAGGGGTGTCACGAGGCGTGGGCTGAAGTCGCCGCCGACGCAGAGGTGCCCGCTCTCCTCGGCGCGGCACGCGTGCATAGGGACGGCGGTGTTGACGCCGAGGCTCTGCGCGTCGCCCGCGCTGATGTTGAGTGACTCGGAGCAGAAGTGGCCGATCGTGTCGCGACACGACTCGCAGTTGGGCTGGAAGTGCATGTTCAGCCACCCGTTGAGCATGGTGCTCGGCAGCGCGGTCACCAGCGTCTTGAGTGAGAGTAGGGCGAGGAAGACTCCCTCTCGTCCGTCGGGTGCCAAGTTGGCCACCCACGCCGATTGGCGCGGCGACCAGATCACTTCGCCGACGGAGAGGAGGAACACCCACGTGATGGACGCCGGGATGCCCGGGTCGTAGGCCAGCCAGACGGGGGAGAAGGCCATCAGCCACATCCCCGGCAGCATCACGCGGAAGTCGTCGAGATGCGCGGTGAGGGAGGCGGCGACGCTCGGCCCGACCATGCAGACCCACATGTTGATGCTGTGGATGGTGAAGATCGGCGAGTTGACGCCAAAGTGGCGCTCGAGGAAGGCCGGAAGTAGCTGGTCCATGTCACCCCACTGCTTCGAGAGCAGTATCAGGCAGATCGAGAGCCACAGCGCCCGCCAGAACTCACGCAGCGCGCAGAGGTCGCGGATATTCTCCGCGGCTCGTAAGAGGGACGCGCTGGCGGCCGCTAGCCAAGACTTGGGCGAGGTGGCCTTCTCGAGGGCCTCCACGTTGGCACGCCCAAAGATTGGGCTCGGGGCGAGCGACGGCAGCGGCGGCTTCGCCTTTGGAGCTCTCGCAATGAGGAAGCCGCGCGTCCGCTCCTCGGCGGTCGCCCGATCTCGAAGGCTGGCGAGCTCGGCCGGGGTGAAGGGCGGTGGCGACGAGTAGCCGCCAGACGAGCTGGTCGGGAAGGCGGCGGCCGCGCGGCCCTCTGGCCGATCCGTCTCCTCCGTCGGCACGAC